AAAGAATCAGAATTTCAAGGAAGGTTTGAGGGAAGGTCACGAGGAAGGCTACGAGAAAAGCTATGAAGGCTATAAGAAAGGCTATGAAAAAGGTCTCAAGGAAGGCTCTAAAAAAGCTCTAAAGAAAGCTGTGAGGAAGGCTGCGAGGAAGATCTCAAGAAAGGTCTCAAAGAAAATTTAAAAAAAAGTTTCAAATTATTTTTATCTAACAAATATTATTATGCACTTTCTTTTATCTAATATGATTGCATATCTACAATCCATAGACACTAGCATAATAAGATGCTTCAAGTCAAAGTATAAAAGGCTCTATTGCCATTACTTGCTTGTATAATCAAGAACAAAGATAAAAATTTTCTTTTTTATATTTATTATTTTGGTTTAAAACAATATTCCAAAAATCAGAACCTGAAACTATTAAATTCTGATATACTAAATCATAAAAGATCAAAATTCTGAAAGTATAATATTCTAAAAACTAAATCTTAAAAAAAAATCTAAAAGATCATAATTTTGAAAGATTACAGTTCTGAAAAATTACAATCTCGAAAGTTCATAATACCAAAATTAATAATACTGAAAAGTTATAATCCTAAAAAATAACTATGATCTTTCAAGTCTATAATCTTCTGTGATTATGATATTTCAGTATTATAATCTTTCAGAATTATGATCTTTTGGGATTGTAATTTTTTAGAATTGTAATCTTTTAGAATTATAATCTTTAAGATTTTTTTCAAGATTTAGTTTCTAGGATATTATACTTTCAGGATTGTGATTTTTAAGAATTTAGTATATCAAAATTTAGTACCTTTAGGATATTAATCTGAACTTATTATTTCTTGTACTAACTGTTCGTAAATATAAGAAACTTACTCTATAACAAGCCATCAATTTTATTTCTGATATATAGAATAAAGTTAGCAATACTACTATAAAAAATTGCTAAAAGGCTACCAAAATTATACCAAAAAAAAGTGAACAAGATAGTGGGCCAGAAAATAAGCCTAAGGATATAATCTCTGAGATCAGTAATATTAATATACTAATAAAAGATCTTTTAGTTGAGAATAATCCTGAAGTTCAAAAGTTAATAAATAATATTAAAGAATATACTAACCTGATCAATTAACTAGTCATAACCAAGAATATATTAATA